TGGATTAACAGAATGCAAATAAATGAATGAATGAAATGAATGAATTTTCGCTTAGTGGGTCCACTCGGCATGGCGGCCAGTGATTGGCCTATTGCACCTGCCCCTGGTGATTATGATGATGGAGAATTTGGTGGAAAGAGGATTGGCAGGGGAAACTGAAGTACTTGGAGAAAACCTGCCCAAGTGCTGTTTTGTACAATAGAAATCCTACTTGCCCACACCTGGGCTGCCACGGTGGTAAGCCAGAGAATAACCGCTGGAGGTATGGCACGGCCAAAGGTAATAGTGTTAGCTTGTGTTCGGACCTTAGCTATAAGGTAAGTACCCAGAGTCTGCTAGAATGCTTCACTACCAACGAAGAGTAGATGGTATTGTGACAGGTCACACAAGAGTTCACATACCTTGATGGTGTTAGCGAACAAACAGGTTGATAACTAAAACAGCCAGGCACAGAGCCACAGAGCGGAAGATGAAAATACTGACACATCAGTAAGTCATTAGGAAAGTAATGATTAATTTTTGTCCTGTAACATGCTGTCCATACCAAATCCAGGAAGTCATCTGAGAGCAGTTACTGAATTACTGGAAAAATATGTGTACCAACTGGTTACATGAGCATCATTATATGTTTTTGTAAGTTGGAGACAGTAACCTTGGTGACAAACAATTGCAGTCAGCAACAGAAACTAGCATGCCTTCATGCTCTTGTCTCAACCCTCTGATACTGAGTATTTTTTGATAACATCCCTCATCTACAGTCAAGGTTTACATACAAGAAACCTATTCTGAAGTTGATCTCCATCTATTGCGTGCTTTGCGGACATATTTCCTACATCTCAGTATATTAGAGCTTGGTTTTCAGAAGATGGTCAGAGTACATTCTGTCCTTTATCTTCAATCGTGAATAGTGTGGGAAATTGTTTTGTGACACACATGTTTTTGCTCATGTGTTGGTACAAATGTTTATTTGCAGATTGTGTTGTATGTATACAGGTAGTATGGTTATATTAATACTGTATCATAAGATTAATTAATTTTTCAAGTAATGCTATTATTGTACAAGTATTAAGTATTTGCACTTGTTCCGCATCCCGTGGTTTCAGCCACAACCTGGATCGACCTGGATTTACGGAACGTAAATAAATACAAATTCAAACTGCCGTTCTGTTTCTAGTGAATTACACACAGGTAGCAGAACATTAATTATGTAGCGAGGGTCCCAAACAATAACGTTGCCGTTACGTGAGTTTAGGTGTCCTCTCTGCAGCAATTGGCTGTGGCTATCAGTCAACTGTTATGGTCGTTATTGTGGAGTAAAGCGAATAAAGAGATTTAGTGTGAATTTGTTGCTGTTTCCGGAAGAAATACCTGTTTAATCCTTTTTCTGTGACAAGTAGATTCACGTATGTATAAATTCATATTGCCATTCTGTTATTTGAGAGCGGAGCAAAGGTGGCAGCACATGAAGCACGGAGCTACGGAACACACTAATGATGATACAGTTACGCGTCTACAGGTGTGTGTAATCAGTGCACCAGTTGTTCAACTGTCAGTTCCTGGTCAGTCATTTGAAAGAGTTGGAAGCGTTAGAAGTCTCAAGACAGTATTGGTTTAAATTTGTTTGTGTTTTATTAAGCAGCGTGATATTTAATACTATTTTTCTGAAAGAAGCAATTTAGTTAAACTATATCAATTAAAATGGGGATGTTATATACTAAAAGTAAGAAGCCAAAGAGTAAGGTTACAGAATACGACAAAGCTCTTTTGGTAAGTTGGAACAGTTGGAAGTTTTATTATTATGGTATAATATTTGTACAGTAACAGTAGTAATGTGGGAATAACCTTGAGTTTGAATTTTTTTTATTTGTGTCTTTATTTTCTGCTCATGAGTTGTAATTATAAGTGCATTTTATAGAAGTACATTGGATTACATTATGGTTTGTTCGTATGTTTAATTTTAGCAACTAAAGCAGCAGAGAGATAATATAAAAAAGTATCAGAAGAAAATAGAAGAAAATCTGCAAAACGATAGAAAGCTTGCACGGAAACTTCTGAAAGATGGACAGAGAGAGTAAGTTTCTACTTACATATTTATAAATGCTACTATGTCTGGTAGATGTACTATAATTTTAAATGTCCGAATTACCCAAGAAGTTATTATTAAAGTACTGCTGAGTATTTACATTATCTTGTATTGGCGCTTGCGGGTATTCTTTATATGATGGCTAGATTCTGTGCCTTGTGTGGATGACATACTGAACAGATTTTGTAGCGAGCAGCAGAGAGAAGTGGACATATGGGTAGAATTTGAGTAGCAGGAGGCAAAATTTGAAAATAAAGGTGAAGAACAGATGTCGTCATCATCATCACTAGCAAGAGCCATAGACTTCCTTAAAGATTCTGCCAGATTTGATCTGATTTTCACTTCTTTTGGTTTCGTAGCAGTAATTTTTGTACAGACCAAGGTTGTCAGCCTTGCATCTAACCACTCATCCAGGAGGTCAAGGTTTCAGGGACAGTTCCCTTTTTATTGCTTTCCACAACTCGGCAGGGCTAAGGTGGAGGCATTCTCACCTGCCTCCACATGGGGATATAAACAGAGATAGAAGCCAAATTTATTATTTAGAAATATCTCAATCTGGTAACACTCAAAATATGGTTGGTATGTGTCATTAAAATGGTCAGTTATGTGCTGTGCAGCTGGGGCTTGCCCAGTCTATCAAATGAGTATAGAAGGCTTTCTCATGGTGGGTAGAGTGAAGCTGACAACTTACTATATAAAGCCAAAGTTAATGATATGTGGAGCTTACCTCCATGCCTCTGTGTGCCTTCATAGAATTATGTTTAGGCACAGACATAACTACATTTAAATTTGTCTAATGGACCACCTTTTGAATATGTCACAAATATATGCAGAAGTTGCCATTATAGTTTTTGTAGAGTAATTTTGGCATTGTAACAATGTGTTAACAGCTTTATTTGTTTGTTTATATCAGTCGTGCGAAGATAGTGCTGAGGAGAACAAAATGGCAAGAGGAAATTCTTCAAAAGACTGATGGCCAGCTGAATACCTTGGAGCG